TACGCGGTTTTGTACTTTAAACGACGATATATAGATATATAAATATATCTTACTGATTTAAAAGAAAACCTCATATATGTACATATGTATATCAAAAGCAAGAATGAACAAAGCAACAATCTTATACGGGGGGAGCGCAAGCACAGCGCAGGGTGGCGAGCCAACGCGGACCGCCGCTAAACAGACAACATTTACTTTTTGTATTGAAATAAGATCGTATGGATTTATTTCTCATATGTAAAATTTTTGCTTATGGCTTTATTTCACTTTCCCCATCGAAATATAGGGATATGTCTTTATTTCTCCATTTCCTATGGCTTTATTGCACGGCATCGTTCAAGGCTAATCTATTGCCTTAAAGTTTATATGTTCCAAGAACAATTCGACGTCGGTAACAAATAAAATTATAGTTTAAAAAACTAAAACCTCGCTGTTATAATTTCCATTCGTACTGTCATCAGGTATGTAATTTGAGAATAGAAATTGCTGCATCTTTTAGGCGCGTCAATATTACATAGTTACATCCCGAGCTAATAAAAGGGAGGTAAAAAGAATTACGTGGGTTAAGCGACGTTTGTATTTTTATGAGTATTGTTTATATTAGATCTTAATAATGATACCCACCTGTTGAATCTCTTCGTAGCCTGCAGTGCGATACGATTTTTAAGCTGAGTCGATGAAGAGACAAATCTAAACATAATGGCTATCTTATGGGCTGTTTTAGCTAACGCGTAAAAGCACATTTAGCGCATTTAGCTCTAAAGGCTACTCTAAATGTACATTTATCCATACAAAATTCGTCACCTAAATGCAACTAAATGCAACTCCATTTTTGCATTAAGAATCTAAATGCTAAAAGCAACCCTGTGATCTTCCAAAATTTCCACGATTCGAACATGCTTTAATGAGAAAAAGTGGCAACATTGCTTTTTCGAGTATACAGTCGCTAGCTGCGTTTCAGTGATCACCGATCGAGATTTCATGTATTATTTTACATTATTTGGATATAGAAAAGTTACGCAAATTCAACATCGATATGATGCTGATAGACATCTGGATTAGTTTGTGATGAACTCTGTTTGTTTTGTTTCCTAATTAAGTGTGGAAATTATAATTGACAGCACCGACAAATTCTGTCGGTTATGGTTAAAACAATTCAAGTTTTTGTATTGAATTTTCGGTTTAGAATTTATTTTTTCCTTTTCAGTAGGGGTTTTTGCACATTAGCGTTTTTGCTGCATTTAAAATGCAACATTTAGCACTTTCGAACATATGTTTTCGAAGAGCGTTCATGCTATCGCATTTAGCAAATGTACATTTACGCGAGTTCGAAATCGTATGCTTTTGACAAACAGCCGTGTTCCAGTCGCTTATTCAGATCCGTATCTATTGCGATCAATTCTCGCGCAAAAGATAATGCGCAAAAAACCTTACTGAAAAGGAAAAAATAAATTTTAAACCAAAAATTCAATACAAACACTTGAATTGTTTTAACCATAACCGAACATTTGTTTGTGTATATATTCATTTGTCGGTGCTGTCAATTAAAATTTCCTCACTTAATTAGGAAACAAAACAAACAGAGTTGATCACAAATTGATCCAGATTTCTATCAGCACCACATCGATGTTGAATTTGCGTAACTTTTCTTTATCCAAATAATGTAAAATAATAAATGAAATCTCGATCGGCAATCACTGAAACGCAGCTAAAGGGTAAACACACCAAAACTGCGACACTTAGAAATTACTACCAGAAACAAACTAGCAGGCTTTGAAATTTTTTTTTTTGTATTATATAACTTGGAAGTTTAGATGTTATTAAAATGTTAAAATATTAGTTATTATTTGCTCCATATGCAAGTGATCGGTATTTTCATCGCACACGCGCCATCATGTTCTGTACGACTGCATTATCGACTTTACGCGATGCGCACAACTACTTTGTTTTGCACTCTTCAATATTTTTCACTGTTTCACCTGTTTTCTGCAAGATTTCTTTGACAATTGACCAATATTCCCCAATAGGACGTGGCTCTGGGCTATTGGGTGGATTGCAGTCGTGAGGTACAAAATTGATGTTATTTGCGCTATACCACGGCAATGTGTCCTTGGCATAGTGGCAGGTTCCCACGTCCGCCTAGAACAGTGGCCTACTCCTTATCTGTTGATAAATGACAGAAGACGCCTTTTGAGGCACTCATCCCGATAAACTTGATCATTCATTGTCCCGGATGGGAAAAAAGGGCTGCTCTTACGGCCACAGGATCAAATAGCTTGCCAAACCATGTGGTTTTTTGGAAATTTGGACTTCATTTTCAGCTTACAACTTTCAGGGGCATCTTGACGACTTGCACCAGTATAAAAATCTTGACCTGCAATATATTTTGAATTTTTATAACAGTAGGTTTCGTAGTCGATAACAATGCAGTTGTATTTTTTAATGTAGAATTCATACAACTTCGAATGCAGGATTTCGCTGCAACATTCTACTTTGCGCCTCGGTCTGGCGCTGTTTGAGCTGTAGAACATCTCAATGAAGCATTCTGCGTACGGATTTTGCAACATAACGCCACAAAATCTTCGGATTTCGCGAAAACGCACTGAGGACCTTCCGGGCACTGTTTTTATCACATTGACCATGCTAACCCACGCTCCCTGGTTTTCTCGTAACTGCCAGGCCTTATTGGTACCGATTAAAACCCTGCAAACTGTCGAATAGTGCAATCTTTAATGTTTTAGCAATTTTACGTGTACTTAAGGCCAAGAATGATAGAATACAAGATTGCGCCGTCCTGGGTGTTGACATTTGTGTACCACAAGTAAACAAAGAATAGAGCGAAAAGAAGAACGAGTTGAAACAGCCAAAGCAGTTCACTTTACTGCGAAAAACGTGTTTTAATTTTGCTAAATGCGAAAATATTGCATTTTCACCTAATCTATTAGAAAACAGTGAACATTGTAGTGCACTCCATTGCTTTACAATTGAGGCTGCTTCAGCAAACGTTTTAGTGCACTCCATTGCTTTGCAATTAAGGCTGCTGCAGAAAACTGCAGCAGCATCTCTGCGGGACTGATAAGTTAATGGGCTGTTTTTGCTTACGCGTAAAAGCACATTTAGTGCATTTAGCTCTAAATGCTACTCTAAATGTACATTTATCCATACCAAATTCGTCACCTAAATGCAACTATATGCAACTCCATTTTTGCATTAAGAATCTAAATGCTAAAAGCAACCCTGTGATCTTCCAAAATTTCCACGATTCGAACATGGTTTAATGAGAAAAAGTGGCAACATTGCTTTTTCGCGTATACAGTGGCTAGCTGCGTTTCAGGGATCGCCGATCGAGATAAAGAAAAGTTACGCCAATTCAACATCGATGTGATGCTGATAGAAATCTGGATCAATTTGTGATCAAATCTGTTTGTTTTGTTTCCTAATTAAGTGAGGAAATTTTAATTGACAGCACCGAGAAATGAATATATACACAAACAAATGTTCGGTTATGGTTAAAACAATTCAAGTTTTTGTATTGAATTTTTGGTTTAAAATGTATTTTTTCTTTTTCAGTAGGGTTTTTTGCACATTATCTTCTGCGTGAGAATTGATCGTAATAGATACGGATCTGAATAAGCGACTGGAACACGGCTGTTTGTCAAAAGCATACGATTTCGAACTCCCGTAAATGTACATTTGCTAAATGCGATAGCATGAACGCTCTTCGAAAACATATGTTCGAAAGTGCTAAATGTTGCATTTTAAATGCAGCAAAAACGCTGCATAACTTGCTAATGGAGGCTGCGTGGAGCAGAAACAAAATCATTGTGAGGAAATGCTGTTAATATAATAATAGAGAAACATTTTGGGAACGGCTTTGCCGTGCCCTATATACACAAAATGCCCCGATTCGTCCCAGCGCTACACTTGCATCTACGCTTCTTGCATCTTGGCGGTTGTCGCAATTTAACACACAGCACTTCATAGTATTAGTTTTTACGCAGTCCTCAACTCAAAAATCACTCACAAATTGCAAATTAACACGGTTTAAACTGATTTTTCACTTATAATTCAAATTTCTCTTTCGCTGATTTGTAAACAAAGGTTTATTTACAAGTTACCACAACTGTCAAAATCGGCAAAACCAAAGTAGCGGTACCACTGACGGCGCCACCTTTGTTCGCTGCACCGTGCTTAAGGCCGGATCATTTATAAACTCGTGCAAAATGGTTTGTCTCGTTTCTAACTCGGTTGCCATTTTTAACTCAACTAGGAATCAAATTCAAATGAAATTTCTTCTACGTCCAACTAAGGTCATGTGGTCAGCTTATGGTATTTGAATTTCAAAATATTGAATTCGTTTTGGGTAAGTTATAAGCTTCCCAAAATGTCGCAGTTTTGGTGTGTTCACCCTTTAGCCACTGTATACGCGAAAAAGCAATGTTGCCACTTTTTCTCATTAAACCATGTTCGAATCGTGGACATTTTGGAAGATCACAGGGTTGCTTTTAGCATTTAGATTCTTAATGCAAAAATGGGGTTGCATTTAGTTGCATTTAGGTGACGAATTTTATACGGATAAATGCAATGCAATTTTCCACGTCGGTCTGCCAAGGATGCCACTTGGATAATAGGTGCAAAGCGTCTTCTAAGACATTTATATTGTCATGGGATTCCCATAGGCTTGGCCAAAAGTTCCGGGGAATCGATGGTCGAAATAAAAATCACAAACCATCGTGAAACCCGATTCATCAAAATGCCTGATGGACCTCTTGGAGTACGAGCAGCATTGAGTGCAGGAATGCAGGTAGTAATAGTGCCTGACCAGCCTGTGCCGAAGAAACTCTACGAAGGGGCAACAATAGTTTTCAAATCGTTACAAGATTTCAAACCAGAATATTATGTCTTGCCGCCATTTCCCTCAATTTAAATAGTTTACTTTCGAAATGTTCCCAAATTTATCCTGTGTGTAGTGATAAATCTAACAACTAAAAGATTAATAATGAATTATGCATACATTTAAGTATATTTTATTCGTCTGAAATAGTCTCTATTTTTAATCTGATGCCCTTCTTGATGACTTTAAGTCTTTGTTACAGCTTCCAACTGCTTTTGTATTTCCGGTGCTGATTGGTTCGTCAATGGAACAGACGTCTCTTTACCTAAAGCTATTGAAATAAGAAGTTAGAATCTCTTAATCTTGTTCATTATAGGATCATACCAAATCGTGCCCATAAACGTGGTTGAATTCCTGAACATTCACGTATTAGAATAGGCAAATCTGGATTGTTCTTTTTAAGGCTGGGATAAAATTTTTCCACAAACTCCCTAAAAAGAAATTTTTTTATTAGACAAGTTAAAATTTTACTTAGAAAAATGGTAATTCTCTAGGTTAGGGTAACAACCGCTAAAAAAGGTCCGGAAATGTCGGTAGGGGTACCAATCGCGTTTCGGTCCCCGTATTAACAATCCGGAGGGGGAGAGCTAATATTATTAACCATTTAAAAGTTATAAACAAAAAACTATTGTTAAATTTCGTTGTTTTGTATGGGCAATTACCCCGACAAAGAAAAATTTTTTAGTTTCACTAAATGCGGCCTTGGTTTGATATATATATCATATATATAAATAATGAAATATTTTAATAAAAAATCGCGCGGTTTTTTATTAAAAATTTTCGCCTGCGGCGCTTTTTCCATAAAAATCAATACTTCGATAAATAATGAAAATTTTTAATAAAAAATCGCGCGATTTCTTATAAGTAATAAAAGTGAATAAATGATTTTGTTTGCATAAAACAATAACCGGAGACGTTGTAATAGTGTTTTAAAAGTGGAAACTGGTGATTTAGTGCATTTTTGACGTGATAATTGCTCATAGAAAACAACGAAATTTTGTTGTTTTAGAAAATACGATATAGAAAGAAGAAACACTGCGTAAGTTACGTGTAGGAACATTGAAAGTTATTCTTTCCAAGAGGTTAGGGCAATCAACCGATCCATTCTAGAGATTGGCAACGAATGAGCAAGCAAGATAAGCAGATCTGCTACTTAGAGTTTGTAAATTTAGAAGTGCACAACGTGATTCATATGAGGGAATGGGTTCACTAAAATTCAGTGAGCGTAAAGCAAATTTTATAAATTTTTTTCTGTATCCGTTCTAATCGCGTGATATGAGAATTGTGGTATGGTCTCCAAATGAATGACGCATACTCCAACCTGGATCTTACTAGAGTAATATAAAGCAGCTTCAAAGTGTATGGATCGTAAAAAGATGAACTATTACGCCGGACGAAAGCCAGCATCGCGTATGATTTGCCAACTATATATTCGATATGCGTGGAAAAATTTAGTTTCGTGTCGAAGTAGACACCTAGATCCTTGACTTCATTAACATGATTAAGAGGAGATCCAGAAATATGATAGCGCGTGTGGAGCGGAATTAGCTTTCTGGTATAAGTACAATGTGAGCACTTATTTATATTTAGATGAAGACGGTTTCGTTTGCACCAATCGTGTAGTTTAACGAGTTCTCCTTGAAGGGCAATGGAATCGTTTATACATTTAATGACAGAGTAAATTTTGAGATCGTCCGCATATAATAGATATTTAGATGACGTGAAGCAGGAACCTATGTCATTAATAAATAAAATAAACAACAGTGGTCCAAGTACGTCGTACGTGGCCCCCTGTTGCTCAAACAGAGCAGCCTCCACGGCAAACCATAGTCCGCCCGTGCAGCCCCACACACTCACACAGCAACCACACACAGTCGCCACAACACAACAACATAATAACACCACAGACCGTACCACAGCCACCACAGACCACATAACACACACAACCGCACCACCACCCACACGCCGCCGCCAACAACTCCTGGTTCCCCCTACAATCTGCACGGTATGTCAGACCAGAATATTCCGTAATGTGACATCAGTCAAGTGCAACACCTGCCTTGGCTGGTGCCACTTTAGGGCATGTTCAGGTCTGCGTACCACGCGAGATTGGACGGGGAACTTCGAGGGCCCGTGTTGCGCTGCTCGGTCGCAGACTTCAATTGCGACGCCCCCCACCACCACCACAGGGCGGCAATCACCTCAGCAGCACACACAGCCAACGGCGGCAAGAACATACACCTCACTTACACCCCACATCACGGCACGTCTCCCAAACCACATGAAGCTCCTTCAATTCAACTGTAACGGGCTACAGAGCAAGATTGAGGAGATAACCGTCTTCATGTGTCGGCATGGTATATTAATAGCTGCGGTCCAAGAGACGAAGTTGCACAGCAATTCAACTTTGTTGAATTGCGCCGGGTACAACGTGCACCGTCAAGATCGCGAGCGAGATAATGGTGGTGGCTTAGCGTTCATCACGCACCACACCGTGCACTATCGTCTTATCGAAGCAGACATCGACCGCAGGGATACCACCCTAGAATGTCAGGGCATCGCTATCCGGTCAGGCGATGTCGAGCTCGAAATATTTAACATATACATACCCCCTGTCACCTGCTGCCCGGCAGGATATCACCCTGATATAGGTGCGCTCCTCAGAGGTGAAAACCGTATGGTAGTAGGTGACTTTAATGCGCACCACGATCTTTGGCACTCAAGCCTGTCAAACGATCGTAGGGGAACAGACGTGGGTGAGCAGATAGACGATTCGACATTCTGCACAATGAACGACGACGCACCCTCCAGGATTATGGGTAACTGCAGTAGCTCGCCAGACATCACAATAGTCAGCGCTGGTCTGATAAACAGCATAACGTGGCGACCTATGCTGACTCTAGCATCAGACCATCTACCCATAGTCATCTCGATTGATAAACCAACCGACTTTGCCTCCGCCAAACACCGGACCTATATCAACTTTTCTAAAGCTGATTGGAAAGGTTACGCGGAGTTTACCGAAAACACCTTCGCAGCGCTCCCCACACCAACCGACGTCCATCTCGGTGAACGTAAGTTCCGCAGGGCTATCACTGCTGCTGCAGCTCGCTTCATACCGGCAGGATGTATATCGGACCCACGTCCAAACTTCCCTGCCGAAGCGGCTGTTCTAGCTGATGAGCGTGATAGCCTTCGTCAGGCCGATCCCGGAGATCCCCGTATCAGGGATCTCAACGCGGAGATTCGGCAACTTGTAAACGTACATAAGCGGAAGAAGTGGGAGGAGCACCTGAAGACTTGTAATTTCACCTCTGGTGTGAGCAAGCTTTGGTCAACCGTGAGGTCATTGTCTAATCCGACGAAGCACGACGACAGAATCGAAATTTCCTTCGGCGACCATGCTTCGTCGGACCCGGAGCGATGCGCGAGCTATTTTAGCCGGCAGTTCATACTGCATCCTCCGGTGGACAAAGCCAAGCGTCGAGTGACCAGAAGGCTGCACAAACTGCCAACAACCTGTGCCCCCCTTGCTTTCACTTGCGGTGAAGTTCAGGTGGCCATCGGGAAGGCGAAAGCCTCCAAAGCCATGGGTCCCGACGGAATATGCATGCTGATGCTGAAAAATTTGGGTCCTGCGGGGGTAGCGTACCTAACGGAGGTCCTCAA